CTCTTTTTTTATATCTAATATGTACCTGGTCAATCTGAGCAAATACCTAGTATGCTGAGAAAATCATTTGGAAAACTTAGACTACTGAGAAACTGCAAAATGATTGTGGCATCAGAATTGGAGGAAGACTCATCAATAACTTGTGTTTTGCAGGTAATCTTGCTAGTAGAAAGTGAAGATTTGAAGCACTGGTTGCAGAAGACTGGAGATCACAGGCTTCAACATGGATTACATCTCAACAAAACAAAGATTCTCACAACTAAAGCAAAAAATTAAAGAAGCAGAACTTACAGTGGGATTTGGGTCCAGATTTCAAACCAATCTTTTCAGATTTGCCATCGGACCTCCATTTTCAACATCCTTGCATGGGGTACTTTGTCTTACTGCGTGAAAATGTAAACTCCTTCCCCTTCAGCTGGGCTGAAAAAACTTTAACTTCTGGTTAAGGGGAGTCCAGGGTTTATAAAGGTTTGGTCAGTTACCTAGAGGGATGAGATCTTTAGGGAACAGGGAAGAAGGTAAAGTCAACATAAAAAAAGGGAATTTGTTGGCAAAAGAATTTACCTGAAATCTTGCAGTTCAGAGAGGAGGAAACTAAATGCTGGGTTTTTGGATTTTCAGTGTAGCCCAGGCACAACAAGTACCCCACTGCCATTGAATCAATTCCACCTCAGAGAGACGCTCTATGAGATTCCCAAGGCTGCACACCTTTATGGGAAGAGGTGGCAGGTCCGTCCATCTTTCTCTTTGAAGAGCTGTTAGTGGATTTGAACTGCTGACCTTTCGGTTAGCAGTCCAACAAGTTACACACTATGCCATCAGTGCTCCTTGGACAGAATAAGGCACAGAGATTCTTATCCTATCTCTCTGTTTCTTCCGAAAAGAAGGGAAGAAGCTTTTCAACAAGGGAAAAGATTTTCATTTATAAAAGAGTGTTAGTGTCAGGGTAAACACAAATCAAGAAATTAATCTTCCCCACTTGAAAAAGGAGAGACTCCCTTTCTCTCTCTTCTTAGAGCGTTTACCTTACAAAACATGTAATTGTGAATTCTTTCTCTGCCCCTACATCTTTCTAAACGCTAAGCAAACCTCTTGTTACTTTCAAGGAGCTCTGGTGCATAAAATATTGGGCAGGTAAGTGGGAGGTGCGAGGTTTGAATCCCTCCTTCAGTCCCTCCTTTGTAAGAAGATGTGAAGATGGGAAATCTCCTTCCATGCAATTACATAGCCTGGAGGGCAGGGTGGTCCGCTATAAATCAGTTCTGATTCAAACGCTAAGAGTGTGTACTATAATACAAGGTCACTATGAATCAAAAGCCTCAGAAGACAATTTACCCCAGCCATGTGTGAAGCGGTAGTTTAGATTCTCTTCTCGAGTTCATGAGGCTCACGTGGCCTATCACATTGTGGGTTAATTGCTTCCATGCATCTCTCACAAGAATTGCACCTGAGATAGCCAGTTTTTAACCACAAGCTTCTAAAACCCCGGTTGCTTCTCATCAAATTAGACACCAAAACTTCTTTGTCTACTATGTTATGCCAATTGACCTTGATGTCCCAAGAGAAAATGATCCTGCGCTCCCAGGTCCACTGACTCATTTCCTCAAGGTGTTTGATTATGCCTAAGCAATTGCCATTAATTTTGTTGTACTATAAACAAGAATTCAGTTGTGGCACATATATGCGCAGAAATACACTCTGTAAAACCTAGTTACATTCTTAAGTGTAAAACCATTCGCCTTCCCACACCTGTTTGACTTACCTCTCTATGTGCTTATCCCTCGTAGATTATTGTTGCAGGGGTTCTTTTCCATTTGCAGATATGAAATCTGAGCCACCAATATATGGCCCCCTGGATCCAGTCCCGTAAGGAAAAGGTCCCATTAAAGATGCATAAAAAAAACCAAAGATGCACGCGGCTGGGAAGCTGATGTGGTCCTATGGGCTGTGTTGTCCTTGTCCAGGAGCCCAATGGCGAGGGCTGAGGCTGGAGTGGAGAACACCAAACCCTGAGAGCTGAGCGGAGAGAGCTAGTGCGCTGCAGCCGCGAGTCGGAGCTTTACGGTCATCCCCGGGGAGAGGCGGTGAGCCCCGGTGCGCAGGCGCGTGAACGGTTGCGGCGGGCGGTTGCGGGCAGGCGGCTCTGCCCGGCTGGGCGAGCGGGCAAGCTGGAGGCTGCGGAGGGCGGCCCCGACAGCCCGGGCCAGGCCCGCGGGCCTCTCGGTAAGTCGGCCGCCCGGCCGGAGCAGCTGCCCTCTACCTGAGGCAGGGTCTGTCCTGCCTCGGTGCGGGAGCCTGGGGTGCAGAGGTTACTCCCGATCCAAACCTTAGGTGGTCTGATCCCCGCAGTGGGAAGTCGGGGTGGGCTGGAGCAGGCCGCACGTCTAGGGAAACTGAGGCCCGGGCTGGAGCAGGCAGCACGTCTAGGGAAAATGATGCTTGGGTTGGAGCAGGCATCACGTGGGGGAAACTGAGGCCTGTCTAGGAACCAATGGGGAAGGACATGAGCTCTGCATGCATGTGCGTGCGCGCGTGCACACACACACACAAACACTCTCTCTCACCCAGAGCTTCCTATGGACCTGATGAGGTGCTCTGGGGAAACTGAGGCCCAGTGACAGGTAGTGACAAGGGGCATGGGCCCGGGCTCTGGGAACTGCCTCAAGACCAGAGTGGACCCCTGTCTGGGGTGCCCTCCCCCGCTCCTCCATGTCCAGTCAGTGCCTCCTGCTGGTGACTCTGCCGCCCCCCAGGAGCTCTCCCCAGATTGCGCCCCTAGGGCTCTCCTTGACCCCTTTGGAATGACACTTCCATTCCTGATCCCTAGGGCCTGGTGACATGAACCCGGTCAACCCGGTCGTGGTGGTCCACGGAGGCGGAGCCAGCAGTATCTCCAAGGATCGCAAAGAGAATGTGCGCCAGGGCATCATGCGGGCCGCCACCGTGGGTTATAACATCCTCAAGGAGGGAGGCAGCGCCGTGGATGCTGTCGAAGGAGCCGTGATCGTTCTGGAAAACGACCCCGAATTCAACGCAGGTAGCTTAGCGCTGCAACTAGTAAAACCTTTCTAAAGTGTCAGTGAATCCACACAACATTGTGGTAAGACATGCAGTTGTTGTTAGGTGCCTTCGGGTCAAGTCGGATTCATACCCTGTGAACAACAGGTCTGAACCCTGACCCATCCTCATTCTCTCTGACACACTTGAGCCTGTTGCTACAATCACTGTGCCAGTCCATCTGACCTGGTTCAGGGTCTTCCTCTCTTGCTGACCCACCTGTCCAAACATGATGTCCCTTTCAAAGAAACAGCCTTTCCTAGCAACATGTCCAAAGTACTGAGACAAAGTTTCATCATCCTTGCCTCCAAAGAGTACACTGGCTGCACCTTCTCCAAGACATATCTGGGTTTGGTTTTGCTTTTTTGTTGTTTAGGGGTATTTTTGGCCACCTGTGCAATACTCAGTGTGCTTCTCCAACAAACATAATTCAAAAGCATCAGTCATTTTTCTGTCATCCATATTCATTGTCTGGTTCTCAGATGCATAGCAAATGATTGAAAAGACCATGGCCTGTGTCAGGTACATCTTACTATTCAAAATTACATCGTTGCTTCTCAGTAATTTGGAAAGTCTTTGACAGCAATCTTAACTAATGTCTCCAGAATTCCTGACTACCGGTACCAAAGATGCTAATTGTGGATCCAAGTAAGATGAAACCATTGACTATATAACCTTTTCTTCCTCTATCATGGTATTGTTTATTGGTCCCGTGGTGAGAATTTTTTGTCATCTTGATAGTGAAATGCAATTAATATTGAAGGCTGAAGTATTTGATCCTCTGCAGTATTTCAAGTCTTTCTTACTTTCAGCAAGTTAAGAAAGTGTTATCTGCACAGCACAGATTATTTAATAACTCTTCCTCCTATCCTCATACCACATGCTTCTTCATATAGTCCAGATTTTCTAATTATTTTCTTAGCCTGCACATGTAATATGGAGGAAGGATACAACCCTGACACATACCTTTCCTAATTTTTAAATGCACTGTTCCCTTCCTCTGTTCACACAACAGCCACTTGGTCTATGTATAGGTTTTGTATGAGTACAATTAAGTGTTCTGGAATTCCTATTATTCTCAGTGTTAGCCATAGTTTGTTATGATCCACACAGTCAGTAAAACATGTAAACATTCTTCTGGTATTCTCTGCTTTCAGCCAGGATCCATCTGACATCAGCAATGATATCCCATGTCAGTGGTGCCATGGCCTCTTCTAAACTCACCTTAAACTTCTGGTAGTTCTCTATTGATGCGCTGTTCTAACCGTTTTTTTTATTATCTTCAGCAATACTTTGCTTATGTGTGATATTAATGATATTGTTCGTTGATCTCCACATTCTGTTGGATCACCCCTCTTGGGAATGAGAGCAAATGTGGATTTCTTCCAGTCAGTTGGCCACACAAATTTTCTGGCATAGAGTGGTGAACACATCCAGGGCTGCATCAGTTAGCTGGAACACGTCAATTGATATCCCATCGATTCCTGGAGCCTTATTATTATTTTTTTTTTTTTGCCAATGCCTTCAGTGGAGCTTGAACATCTTCCTTCATTACGATTGGCTCTTGTTCATATGGTACTTCCTGAAATTTTTCAAGATCCACCAATTCTTTTTGGTCCAGTGACTGTGTGTATTCCTTCAGTCATCTTTTGATGCTTCCTACATCATTGAAGATACTGTTCGTGGCATCTCTCGGTATTGAAACTCTTAGTTTGACTTTGTTTTTCAGTTTTTTTCAACTTTAGAAATGCCAAGCAAGTTCTTCCCTTTTTATTCTTCAACTCTAGCTCTTTGCACATTCTGTTATAATATTGTGGTTTTTTTCTTCTCGAGCTGCCATTTGAAATCATCTGTTCATTTCTTTTACTTGAGTATTTCTCCCTTATGTTGGTTTCTCAACACTCTAGTGCAATTTTCTGAATCTCATACACCCATTTGGTATTGTTCCTCCTCTTTGTCATAACCTTATGTTCTCTTCAAGAATGCTATCTTTGATGTCATCCTGTAACTGATTTGGTCTTTAGACTTTATTGTTCAATTCCTCCAACCTATTCAAGAGATCATTTTTAAATTCAGATGGGATACATTCAAGATCATATTCCGGTTCTTGTGGATTTATGTTCAATTTTTTTCCTCTTCAGTTTGAATTTGCACAGCTGATGGTCTGTTCTGCAGTCAGTACCTGGCCTGGTTTTGACTGTGGATACCGAGTTTCTCCAATGACTCTTTCTATAGATGTCCTTCTGTATCCTTTGCAGTCCATCAGGTGAGGTCCATGTTTTTGCAATGGTCATTAAACATACACAATTCAATAATTTAACATCTAACCTCATTTCTGTCACCAAGGTTGTACTTTCCAACTACCTTTCCTTCCTCATTCCTTCCTAGTTGTTTTCAACTTTTACATTCCTGTCACTAGTAATTATTAATGCATCTTGATTCCATGTTTGGTAAATTTCAGACACAAAAGTTGGTTATTTTATCTTGTTGTATGCCATCGAATCAGAACCAACCCATAGCTGACCCTTCAGTGGGTTTTCAGAGGCAGTAAATCACACAGGAAAAGATTGCCTATTCTTTTACCTCAAAACTCCTGATGGATTTGAACTGCATTCCTTTGGGATTGCAGCACAAGTAGTTCAAAATCAGGAATGGAGTGTGTCAGAGATGCATCCTGTCCACATACCTTTTCAGTCTATATGCAGAACAGATCATTTGGAAAGCAGGACTTTAGGAGGAGGAGTGTGGCATCAGGATTGGAGGAAGACTCATTAACAACCTGTGATATGCAGATGACACAACCTTGCTTGCTGAATCTGAGGAGATCCTGAAGCACTTGCTGCAAAAGGTCAAGGACTGTAGTCTTCAATATAGATTGAAACTCAACATCAAGAAGACAAAGATTCTTACCACTGGGCCAATTGGCAGCGCCATATTAGATGGAGAAGAGATTGAGGCTGTTAACAGTTACAGCTTGCTTGGCTCAACAATCAACACTCCTAACACCAACGGTCAGGAAATCAAAAGGCAAATTGCACTGAGAAGATCTTCTGTCCTGGACCTCTCCAGAGTGCTGAAGAGCAACGATGTCAGTCTAGATACAAAGGTGTGCCTAATCCAGACCATGGTCTTCTCAATTACTTGTTATGCTTCAGAGAATTGGACAGTGACTAAGGATGACAGAAAAAGAATAGATGCCTTCGAGTTGTGGTGCTGGAGAAGAGTCCATGAACATACCATGGACCGCCAAGAAAACAAATAGGTCTGTCTAAGGTGAAGCCAAGACTCTCCTTGGAGGCTAGGATTTTGAAGCTCCACCTCACTTACTTTGGGCACGTGGCCAGGAGAGACTGGTCCTTGGAGAAGGACATCATGCTCAGAAGGGTAGACGGACAGCGCAGGAAAGGAAGGCCCAGAATGAAATGGATTGTGATGAGACAGTGACTAGGGTGATGGGGGTTGGTGTGTCGGAGTTAGTGAGACAGGCTCAGGACAGGGAAGAGTTCAGAGCTGCTGTACACAGGGTCGCTATACATCACAAGCGACTCAATGGTATATAAAAACGATAACATACTATGACAGGTTTGGAAGCAGGAATGGCATCTACTTCCTAAATAACATGTCTCCAGAAACTCCTTGAACTTTGATGAATGTTGATAGTTGTAGAGGGGCTTCAGGCCTTTTGTTCGTGGGTCGCAATGAGTCGTGCTCAACTAGAAGACAATCAGCAACAGCAACAACATTATAATGAGAGTTTACAGAACACTTGGATTTCCATTCATTCATTGTTGCATATTTTCCTCCCTACCCACTCCCCCACAGTTTGCTTTTCTCTTTAAAAAAAAATTCATTCATTGTTGCACAGTTTCCTCCCTCCCCCCACCCTCCAGTCCACTTTGCTATGCATCTCTTATTCTGGACTGTCATCATGCAAATAATACCTAATCATATATTTCTTTTAAACAGTTCTTTCCCTCATCTATTTCAATGCAGTGTTCATTATTTATCTCCTCTTTTCTTAGTGTTCCCTCAACCCTAGTGTCAGTCCTGTATTATAACAGTGGCACTATGCAGTATTTGTCCTTTTGTGACTGAGATATTTCACTCAGCTGTCCTCCAGGGTCACCAATTTTGTATAATATTTTATGAGTTTCTTATTTTTCAGGGCTGCGTAGTATTCCATTGTATGGATATACCATATACCACAATTTCTCTATCTGTTCATTTGCTGATTGGGCACTTGGGTTTCTTGCATTTCTTTGCTATTGTGAACAATACAGCAATAAACATGGGTGTGCGTATATCTGCTTGGGTGGCAGTTATAGTTTCATAGGGTATATTCCCTGTAGTGGAATTGCTGGGTCAAATGGTATTTCTATTTCTGACTTTTTGAGAAAGCACCATACTGCCTTACAGAGTGGTCGCATCATTTTATACTCCCTCCAACAGTGAAGAAGGGTTCCAATTTCTTCACAACTTAACCAACATTTGTTGTTTGCTGCTCTGTTGAACTTTGCTGTTACTGGTGTGAGGTGATATCTCATAGTTGTTTTCATTTGTATCTCTCTTACAGCTAGGGATTTTGAACATTTCATCATGTGTTTGTTCACCATCTGAATGTCTTCTTTGGTGAAGTGTCTGTTCATATCCAGTCCCCATCTTGCGATTGGGTTGTTTATCTAGTTGAGGTCAGCACAACTTCTTACCACTAGGCCACCACAGCAAAAGTTGGTAAATATCTTCACTTTCCCTTTCTTTTGCTTTACTAGCTTTAATTGTTGGTGCGTATATTTGAATAATAAGCATATTAACAGGTTGCTCATATGCATATGGCTAGTATTCTATCAATCACAATACAACATTGGACTTTAGTATGTTGTTATTGTCTTAACATGCTGTTGAGTCCTTTGTAACACATAGTAACCCTATGTACAACAGCTTTCAACCCTGCTATACCCTAAGCCAGCCTTATTATCTCTG